AACATAACATGCAATGACATGCGAGAGCGGTCCGTGGTGCGCACTATGTGTGCGACCACACCTCTTCGACCAAACTCCCACTAACATGACTAAATTCATCCGAACACTTAAATTAAACTAAACATGTTTTTACACATAAAAGCTAAATATGCGAGAATACCCGGAGAATACTAACTTAACATATTGAGCATGCAAGCACGGCCCGTGGTGCGCTACGTGCGCAACCACGTTACCCTTGGCCGAACACTTCAAACGTGAAATATCATCCGAACATTAAAGTTAATTTAAACATGATATTGCATATAAAAGCTAGGCATGCAAGAATGTTCGGAGAATTCGAATAAAATCATAACATGATAATATTAGGCACGGCTAAGGCTACGGCTTCTCGCACATAACACGCATGCATGCTACTAACGGGAAAAATCAAATTAAATAACATGATAGGTTCGGTCTACAAAAGTTGGGAGCTTACCTCTTGCAAAGCCCTACGGACTAAACTCTTCGCACCCTCGAGCTCTCGGCCGTAAAGAAGCTCCGCGCTATGTGCGTTGCGTGCGATGGCTCGGCGCGATGGCTTGGGGGAAAAACTCTCGGCAATTCTCACGCACAACACTCACAAAAATTCTCACTAACTCTCACTATGCTCACTAAACTCTCGGCACTTAGAGAAGGAAAATGGGGCAAAGTCCCCAAGTCTCTCTTAAAACCCGAATGCACATGATGAGGGGAGAGGTCATGGACACTTGGCAAGCATGCTATAAAATGTTAGGACATTTCATGCTAGAAGCCAAAAAGGCATGCAAGACTAGCCTCAAAACTCACGTGAAAATGCTAGCAAGAATGAAGAGGAAAAGATTGGACAATACTCTAGCATGCACACGGCAAAAACAAGGAGGAATAAGGACAAATGCACTAAGATACAACACTATTTCCCATGGCACTAGAGGACAATGGAGAAAGAATCCTTGGACCAAATGCTCTCTCTCATGCACAAAAACTCACACATGCACGGCAATAAGACAAAGGGAGGAATCTTGACCATAACTCACTCCAACATACATACTACATGCACGACATTATGCTCATGAGTTGGACAAAATTCACTAACTCTCCATCATGCACGGCTTATGGGAAATGAGGAAGGAAATTGGACTATTCTCCCATTACAAGCACGGCAATTTAAGAATGCTAATGATGATTAATTTACTATTAATCATAATTAAGGCTTAATCAAATAATTAAGCATAACACTCAATTACCAAAATTATTCCGAACGTAAACGGTACGTCGAAAATATTTTTCGGTAATTCCGACTGAAATAACTGAAAATAATTAATTCCGAAAAAATAATATCGGAACTAAAATATTATTTATACTGATAAAAAGTCGGGATATTACAACCTGTAAAATATCTGGTCCATGAAAAATGAAAAAAAAAATGGAAAAATGATTATTTCAAATTGGATTTGTAGCACAATTATTGCTGGAGTAGCCAGCACCATGTGAGTCCAAGCTACTTTACTAATCAACTTTTCTAATTACAGAATTCGACGTACTGTCTTAGACCATAAGTCAAGTCGATAGTTGGTCTCTTCAGTCGTTCTTCATATCAACGAGAGAGCTGGATTTTTTATCACCTTACTCAAAAAATATTATATTGACCCAAATTTTTCTAATATCAACATATACTGCATTTTATAGTGTTCATCTGATTGGTTGCTGACCTAACATTCTTGGTTCTGTGATCAGCCTTCACAAGATCAATCCTGGAAGCATGAAGCATACTTAGTGTTTCCTGTCCATTTGGATGGAACATTGTTGGACAGCGCCAAAGCTATGAAGGCTAAGAAGGAGTTCTATTCCACCTCAGATGTGCTTCAAATATTTCGTCAGGTTGGTATGGATAGATATTTCATGCCTTCATTTGTAGAATTTTTATTTATTACACTGAAGAAATAATAATTCATACAAATACCAAGTATCAAAAGATGCTTGTTTACTTTTTATTTATTTATTTATTTATTTATTTTGTCTAGCATCCGCAACACAGCTGTTTATAGTTATTCTCTTAAAAGATGAGGATTGATTTACTTCGAAATGTTCACATGCAGCTTTGTGCAGGGCTTAAGCATATGCACACATTTGATCCTCCATATGCACATAACGATGTCAAACCTGGGAATGTCCTTGTGACATACAGGAAAGGTCAGTCACCTTCAGCTATATTGATGGACTTTGGAAGTGCTCGTCCTGCAAGAAAGCAAATCCGATCACGTTCAGAAGCATTACAGTTGCAGGTTCTCCTCATAACTTCGAAGTCATGAAGGATTTTTCATCATTCACTGTATTAATATCATTCTGTATCTGCTCAAAATAATTTTTAAATCTTGAAGGTGCCTAGGGTTCTAATAAATCAATTGTGTTGCTTTTGAAAAGAACACCCCACCCCCAAAAAATATAATGAAATAAATCAACCCTGAAGGAGTGTGAGCTGCCTTCTTAGTCTGGCAGTGAATATAGATAAACCGTAAAGTCATTTTCTTCTGTCAATTACATATTTTTTTATTGCTGGAAAGCTGTAAAAAGCTTTCAGACCATAATTTCAATTTCAAGTATCGTAAACATTTTTGTAGCTTACAGTGCAAACCAGTTATGTTTCATCATTTGAAAAATGTTCCACTTGATCTCTGGATGTTTTTCATGTAGGAATGGGCTTCTGAGCACTGCTCTGCTCCTTTTAGAGCTCCTGAATTATGGGATTGTCCAAGCCATGCAGACATTGACGAGAGAACTGACATCTGGTCGCTAGGCTGCACTTTGTATGCAATCATGTAAGAACTGTTTCATTCTTGTTATAAGGAGTCTTTACTTTCTATTTTCAGAAGAATTTTTTAAAGCAGTCGATACGTAGCCGACAGGGCCCCTGTGACGAGTGGGATTGGAGCGTAAAGTTTGGTCCATTCACAAGACCACAACCATAATAGACCTAGTTTGGTCCTTTCCCCGGGTGATCAACTATAATGGTCACCAATTGTTTGGTACATTTGCTATGAAGGGTAGGAAAGCATCTTCATATCTATCATTTCTGCAGAAAATGACATGCATTAAGGTTTATTAAAGTTGTGTCTCTGTACACTTTTTTTTAAAAAAAAAATAAAATGTAGAAGAGCACCAGAGGTTGAATCTGGATGACTAGATGTCATGAAGTATACGATTAAGCCGTAACCATTCTGGACACCAGTATAGGAGCATCTAACTGAGTTACCAACATTGCACACTTTTATCAGCATCAACAGCCTCTCGAAATTGATTGGTTTTGTCTATAAAGTTAGCCAAGGACAAGTTTGGAAGTTCGTCTGTATTGCATATGATGCTTTTTACGTATGTTGCTGATTGATGTAGAAATATAAATGCTGTCTGTCCTGTGTGCTGAACTAATATTTTTTTCCATCGCAATAAACTTATAACCTGCACAACATAATCAACACGTAATTTCATAAAAGACGCACTACCGGGAGCGCCATGCAATATAAATTGTTAAAATTAGAGTTTAATCTGTCGATACTTTTTCCTTTAGGTATGGTGAGTCTCCTTTTGAGTACGCGCTTGGTGAATCTGGGGGCAGCTTACAGCTGGCTATTGTAAATGCTCAAGTAAAGTGGCCAGCGGGGCCCAACCCTCCTTACCCGGAGGCCCTTCACCAGTTTGTGCAATGGATGCTCCAGCCCCAGGCCACCGTGCGGCCCTGCATTGACGACATCATAATTCACGTGGACAAGCTGATCTCGAAATTTTCCAATTGAATGAATGAATGAATGTGAACCCCAATGATTGCTGAATGTTGTATTTTGAGCTTGTCAGTTGATAGTGTACTCGATATTCGTGTTAAAACACTGTGATAGGATATAAGTTATATGGAGTATTTCATAAAAGGATTATAATGTGCTGGGAGAAAATTTTGGCGGTTTGCCTTTTTATGGTACGGCATTTACCGACTATGTTAAAATTAGGTTAAATTAACGATAAAATATATATAAATATATTATATTTTTGCTATCAGTATTGTGTACATGTTCCCACCCTTGTTCCATCTACCAATGAATTTATACGGTAGATAATAACAGTAACCTTTTTTTTTTTTTTTTTTTTT